GACTGGATTCTGCCGGAATTCAAGCGAGGAAGTAGAAGACCTCTTCTCGAACCACAGCGCCTTTGCCGTGTCACTTTTCACCCTAGCCTTGCTCAGGTCAGCCCGCAAAAAGCTGATCTACAAGACAACAGACGTTGACAAGTACCAATCTTACCTGTACAACGTTACCGACCCCAGCCCGACACTTGACTCCCCGTTTGACATCGACACCGTTGTAGAAGAGTTAACAGCCCATATTCAGGCGGCAGCTTCTGAAACAGCACCAAGGCCCTCCAACCGCCCAAGAGCCACTGACAGGGACATCCATTTTTGGAGCCCAGAAGTCGAAGAACTCAAACTTGAAAAGCGACGACTCCGAAGAGTGTGGATACTCTCGAGGAATCCTTTGGACAAAACCGCCTTCAATAGAGCGACCAAATGTCTGACAGAAACGCTGGCAAGACTAAGAAAGCAGGCCTTTGACGGGTTCGTCGACAACTTGAGCCAGGCGACCCTCAACATAACTTATGGCGAGTCACCAAATCTATCAGTCAGCCGCTGAAAAGGATCCATCCTGTACAAAGAACCGACGGCAGCTGGTGCAGATCGGAGATGGACAGGGCCAACGCTTTCGCCGAACACCTCGAAGGTGTCTTTACGCCTTTCGATCGCTGCTCATCCCTCGACTAAACCCCCCCTATATCCACGACTCATTTGATGTATTGCAATTTTCTTTTTTCTTCTTCTCCTGCTGTAAATATTTATTTTTCGCTTTTTTCATACTTATGTATGTATATTATAGCAGGCAGCTTTAGCTGAGCTCGGTCCGTTTTCATTTTACAACACAAGCCTGGGTGTCTTGGCGCAGTTGAAAAAAAAAAAAAAAAAAAAAAATATTTTTATACAGGAAAAAATATTTTTCATTCCGTTTTTTGCATAAATACAACATTTTCCTTGACTTCTCCGTTTGTTTGCCGCTGTTCCGCCTTTCATATGCTTGCCACATGCGTTGGCTTCGGCCATATTTCATCGCAGGCTGCAGCTCTTCAGCCGGCTGCTGGCGGAATTATGCTTCAATTTAACAGCCCGCGAAATGTAGCTGCTGCCGAGCCAACCTCCTCTCGATCCCCGCTTGAATTTAAGCAATTTGACAGACGCCTCGCCTGATGAGGAGCACTGCGTTCTGTAAGGATGTACGTGGCTTGTAATGAGCCAGGCGTACTAGTGGCTTAGTCTAGCGATTTCCAACTGCGGCTGGGGTCTGTTTTGGAGTGATACACATGTACCTACACTTGCAAGTTGCAAGTTCCCAGCCCCCGTGCCCCGTTTTTTGAGCCATACAAATTGCTGCCCCAGCCTCAGTACTCCACACAGATACTCTCACATACAGCCTGACAGGCGCATTGCTGCCAGTCATAAATTAAATGGAGTGCGCCGCCATTGCAGCAAAGGAGCAAAAGGATGTTGCCTTGTACACTGCACTGAGAAACATTGGATCAGGAATGCCACTAAATCACTGAAAAAGTTAATAAAACTTGTTAGTGTAATTAGAAGAAATCTAAATGATTTTAAAGGAATTTATGAATAGGCTTCGATGTTTAAAGTTTAAACATTCCAAGTGTATTCATGTTCTCTGTTTCTAATAATTGCAACGTTAATGAAATGTAAAACTATAAAGCGAAACTATTACGCACATAATAGCTATTAATTTTAAAAAAATAACAAAAAATAAATAGTATGCTTTAATTTGGTTTAAAGCCAGTCTGAAATTCATGAAACTCTACAAACCTGTTGCTTTTTCTGGGAATACTTCCCACATAATCCAACCATATATGTAGGTCAGTTTCAACTTTCCCATAACACTCCTCAAGTACTGCTTAATTAGCAAAGCTACCAACTAATCATTCCACATTCTTTCCCATTCTATATCCAAAATACATAACTTTTAGGTCCACAAGAGAAACAACAAGGATACCCGAATTGGGCGTAATTTTCCGGCTAATTAATTACGCCCCTTGGTTTTTGTGTACATTTTTGAAGATAAACAATTCATCAGAAATTCAAGTTTCCCATCCAAAATGTGCCAGGCGGATGTACCACAAGGGCTAGGGAGCAGAAAGAGGAAGTAACTGTGACGGAGTGAGAAGGATGGGTGGGAGGGTTCGCCGACGACAGCAAATTACGCATACGCCACGTGTGCTGTCAGCTAAAAATCCTTTAACATTTATGGAACGCCTATTTACCTGGGAAGTACTAAATCATGTTGCCACATTAATTAATTTCCCGTGAACGAGAGCAGGGGACCGTCACTCGAAAGCTTTTCAAATAAGACCCCCCCTGCGACCCCAAGGACCCCTTTTTCCAGTGTTTTCGATCCCTTGTCGACTGACTAACTGACTGATGTGGAGGCGTCGCGCCTTCTGACGGTCTCCCTGCTGTCTAAATCACTTCCTGTTGAAAGGAAGTTTGCAAAATTGACCAATGATTGTGATTGTGTGTGCCGGCGTGGATGTGCGTAGCGGAAAATGCTGTTTATTTTGTAGGAAATGTGAGAAAATTTAACAATTTTTTTTTGTTCTTTTGGTTTGTGTTCATCTTCTTGAATTTTCTCTTTTATCTTTGATTTTATTTACCATTTAGGAATGTAATTTTTTTCCCATGCTCTTTAAATAGTTGATTTTAATTCATTATACCCTTGCAGAGGGTGTCGGGTCAGGCAGCAGCGGTGTAGTTTTAATGTTTAAATATGTTAGCGTAATGTTTGGTAATGTTTATTTATGGCTTAAGTATGGATATATCGCCTTAGTTGGTCGCAAGCCGACTCTTTCTCGGCCGCTCGACTTCAACGGGCCTATTTTAAGAGAGCTTTAGCTTCGCAATCACTATGTCGGGCCGCCCTCTCCACTATCGAGAGCTTTAGCTTCGCGTATGTCTAGTCGAGCCGCACTCTCTGTCCATTTTTGTTAGTCTCTGCATGCACCATAAGCTGGATGATCACACTGGTTGATCCCAGCTTCATCTGCAGGCATAAATAAATATTTTTATAACGTTCATACTAAATTTAAATTCGTCTTTTATTTACGGCACCGAAAACTCTCGATGACCAAACAGAGGGTATTATAATTTTGTCCAAAAGTGTGCAACGCAGTGAAGGAGACATCTCCGACCCTATAAAGTATATATATTCTTGATCAGGATCACCTCCTGAGTTGATATGAGCATGTCCATCTGTCCGTCTGTCCGTCTGTCTGTCTGTCTGTTTCTACGCGAACTAGTCTCTCAGTTTTAAAGCTATCGTCTTGAAACTTTGCACACACTCTTCTTTCCTTTGCACGCAGTATATAAGTCGGAACGGCCGGGATCGGCCGACTCTATCCTATAGCTGCCATATAACTGATTGATCGGAAATGGTGTAACTTTGGTGTTTTTAGAGTTAGAGAGTTTAAATTTTAAAAGGAAATTTTTTTTAAAAAAATAAAACAAAAAACTAAAAATAATAAGGCTAACCTAATTTATTTCTTAAATAACTGAACGATCGGAAATGACCCAACTTTCGTGTTTTTGATGATAGAAAGCTGGCACTTGGTACACATTCTATTTTTGGTCAGTTAACGATCTACCAAATTTCATAAAGATCGGTTGACTATATCTTATAGCTGACATATAACTGTACGATCGGAAATGGTTTTTTGGTAGAAATATCAACTTTCATATTTTTGAAGATAGAAGCTTGGGACTTTTTTTAGATTTTTTATTGTAATTAATTGGTTTTATTATGATGTAATCATAAGGATCGGCCAACTATATCCGATGTTTGCGATATATATCCGGTTTTAGCTGCAAGGGTATATCAAATTCGGCTCCGCCCGAAGTTAACTTTGCTTTCTTGTTTTAAATGTGCAACTGGCTTTGGCATTCTCTTTCCGGCTAGAGGGATTTAGACGGTCAGCATGGATGCTGCCCACTTTAATGTTTTTTTAATGAGGCCACCACACCACACCGAGACTCTGGCCAACTGCCACTCATCCTTAGTCCTTGCTGTCTGAGTGCGTCTGTCTTGGCCGCTTTTGCGTTGCCTCTGTCATGTCCTGTATTTAATTTCAATTTTTTTCGTTGCTGCCGGGCTGCGTCTTGAGCTGACGCTTTATGCTAAAATAATTAATCATTAGCCGGCGGAAAATATGCGAGGCCGAAACCGAGGCCAAGGCAGCTGCGGCGCCGTGTAATTGTTGTGGCTGCTCTTGCCGGGAATGGAAAACATCTGAGCAGACAACGAAGGTCTGCGAGCATTAAAAAGCTGCTGCCAGCTTACAGGCTGGTCTCCTGTGGAAAGGACGCACAGGGGCGTCGGGTGCGACAAGTTAATTTATCAGCATTTAAATGCCTGACAAGCGGCAGCGAAAAAAAATGTATTTCTTCAGCTTGTTAATGTATTAAAAATTTAATCAAAACTGTTGCAGAAATTTTTGCTAGCATTTTGAGGGATTTGAAACGATTAGACTGAGCTAGTATTTGCTTTCTTTCTTTGCTATTTGATGAAATATTTAATTAATTTATTTGATAATCAAAATAACAGGACAAGATAGAGAATATTTATGACAAAACTTTACTTTTATCAACCATAAACGAAAGAAAATAAATTTACCAACGTCCCTCAACGGTCTGTGATTTTACTGTCAATTATTGATTTAATTTACCTCTCTTCTTGTCGATTTTAAAATGGATTCGTGGGTATATTGATTTACGTTTATTTTCGCACTGGGAAGATGGAAAGGCGTCCAACCGAATATGCCAAAGATAATTAACCTTTTAAACGGCTCTGAAGGACAGGCCTTTGGGCTGCCGGTGACGATTTCAGACGTATGTGCGTTTAACCTTTAATATTTTAACGAGTTATTTTAAAAATGGAGAACTTTGCAAACATGCTTCACTCACTCACTCACCATCCTGACCCATCCTCTTTTACTTGGCGTGTCCTGTCGCTCTCCTTCTGCCTTCCGCACACACAGACTTCTGTCAAAATGTCAACGCAACTTACTCACACATGTGCACAAATATTTCGCAGGACATTTCGTTGGAAATTCAACAACTCGGGCGAAACTCTGGACGTGGGCAGTGAACGATTCAGCGTGAATGGCAGCCGCAGCATTTTAAAGTACACACCAGTCACAGATCAGGTAAACATTCTGATTCCCCACCGTATAGAACCTTATATATGTATATATATAATCGCACGACGGGAGAGTGTCCACAGCGGAGACCGAAAGCTGCTCCGGGCAATTAAGCAAGAGCCGCAATTTAAATAATAAATAAATATGTATTTGCAGGATTATGGCACACTGTCGTGCTGGGCCTCGAACGAGGTGGGCACCCAGCAGCATCCCTGTCTGTTCCAAGTGGTCCTGGCCGGTGAGTATCCTTGGGGAGAAAACGCCCTCGAAAGCCATGTCCAATCTCTGTGGTTCTTTGGGATAGCCGAGGGTGAGAAATGGTTTCTAGATCTTGCTTTAAAAAAAAATAAACAATTTTCATGTTATGAATTTTTAAAATTATCCAATTAAGGGATCAAAAATGTTTACTTATAAATAAGCTAAAATAGATCGTATGGCACACGTTTGAAAAGAAGGTTTAGTAATGATAGTTTGATTATCCAGAAAGGACGACTATCTTGTGTCAGTCCAAAAAAGAGGTTTGTATAAGCTAAACATGACCACTACTACCCTATTTTTGAGCTGCCCTCGTTTCTGTTTGCTGTTGCTTTGCTGATTACGTGCAATTTGACCTTAACATGTTAATGCCGCATGCAAACACAGACAGGGCACGGCACTCAGTCCTGGGAGACACACCGGGCCAAAACTGGACAGGCGAAGTCATACCCCAAAAAAACCAACAAAACCAAAAAACCAGAGATTGGGCTTTGTGCATTTTGGGGCGGAAAGCCGGGGGATTTCATTCAGAAAAAGAACAAATGCTCATGTTGCCCCCTTTTACTTTTCCTCATGTGGATGTGCTGCTGATGTGGATGTTGCTATTGCTGTTGCTGTTACCGGTGGTAATACTGTCGGTGGTGCTGCTTGTTAATTTCCTGCGTAACGTGGACCAAACATAAATCTGATTCCTGGTTGGAAATGGTTCGGATGCCTGTGTGCGGATTGCAAATCCCATTCCGATTTCAGCACTGCCGAATGCCGTCAGCAATTGTACCGTCTTCAACCGCACCGAACTGAGTGTTGACATACAGTGCATACCGGGCTATGACGGCGGCCTGCCGCAAATATTTGTTCTCGAAATGTTTTCAACACGCACCGGCATCACCAGGTAAGCTTATTAATCAACTATAACTACAACGACCCCTAGGCCAGTCCACGTTCCCGTTCCGCTTGTGGCTTCCTTTTAAGCCGCTTATATCCGGTGCTGGGGGCAGCACAAGGGGGTCAATCACGGCAAGGGCGCAGCCGGGTTGGTGCCAGATTGACCCCGAGTGCAGATACGGGGCATATGTCAAACAAATGGCTCCATATCGTTTCGGGAATACACATATTGTATGCATGTATGTATATGCTTAGGCCTTAACCCTCGGGCAGTTCGTGGCAATGTTGGAGCACATAACATAATTTTAATCAAATAAAGCCGGTTTAGTTTCCATTTCTTCAGGGCTTAGTTTCATATGTATTGGTCTTTGCCTTACTTGAAAGAATGTTACAATTTAAGAAAGTTTTGGAAATGAAAAAGAAAGGCTAATAAAGAGCCAAATGGTATACCTCATAATTCTTGCAGTTTGCCTTCCCAAGGGTTGAGGTCTCTCATATTTTTTTAATCATTTTTGCTCTTTGTTTAAATTTTTTTAGTTTTTTTGAATTGAATGTCAAGGGCCAAGGAGAAAAAAAAACTCCACAGGTGCTGAAAGTTAATTCATACTTTAATTTAGTATAAATAGCTACCAGTAGTAGTCTTTATATTCCTGATGTAAGTAGATATGCATCGATGGCAGTACATATGAACGAGGACTGGCCCGCCCTTCCGTAAAATCGCATTTAGATAGAGAACACGTCCTGTTTCTGAGCCTGACACCTCCACAAAGACATACCAGCATCATTTTATTCAATAATAGTTCGAGGAAACCAGGCAAGGCACTACCATATATCGGACGGCAGGAGCCGGAGCTTAGGCACTCGTGAATGTATTTCAAGTGCTTTCACCTCATAAGATATGTATATAGCACTCGATGTAGGTGTGTAATTAGGCGTGAAACAGACCGCTCTTGGGTAGGATGTGTTTGTCTTTAAATGGACCCTCAAGCCATTGAATTCGTAGTGGATATTAAATGTGTGCACATGTTTATGGTAAATGGCAAATCAAATTCATAGCCGAACATAACATTATGCGAGACTGTCTTCATTTGATTTTATTTTTCGTTTCGAATAAATTTTGTGCCATATACATTTTGGGTTGAATACGGCTCGGGGATATGGCAAATAAATATTTCTTATTAAAAACAAAGACATAATCAAAACCGAAGAAAAGAAAAGGGAAAAATATAAGACCCTCATTGAAAAGCGGAAACGCAACAAACATCGTCATCAATGTTCAAATGTTTGGCAAAAAAAATAAATGTATATATAGACATTGAACCCTAATATTTCAGAACTTGCCGGAGAAAAGATTCCGCCAGATCGAAAAGGAGCAGATGGGGCGGACAAGTCAAAGCCGCAGTCGCTGGCAAAGGCATCAAATTCAAATTGAGGTCATGATTGGAAGAGCGTATATCCTCTTTGGCGGAAAAGGGGGTGCTGGAAAGGAATGGGGGCCTGGCAGGCCTGGGGTTAGGAAAACATGAAAACGAAAAACCCGTAAAAATGCCAAAAGAAAAAGGGCTGCCAGAAAGTATTTGCGGCATTGGCATTCGCTCTGGCCGCACATTTGATTAAAGGCTTAATGCCGTTGATTTCCTAGCCATTTCGTTTGATTTAATTCGCAATCATCTCGACTCTGATCCTTTCTGTCCAATTCCGCAGATTCAATTTGAGCAACGCCGAGGAGGCCCTCTTCTCGCTGGAGAACCTGGACACCCTGACCTCGATGATGGTCCAGGAGAACAACTCGCTTCGGCTCCGCATCTACTCGTACAACCAGAAGGGCCGGAGTGCCGCTTATCTGCTGCCCGATTTCATAATTGGCTCAACAGCTTACAAGACAGGTGAGTGGCACTACCAGCCGCCAGATGGCGCCGCCGAAAAACGAACATCACAATTTGCCATGATTGATGGATGGAAGGATGGTTTGGATGGAAGGATGATAGGATGATAGGATGGAGGCGCTATGATGGGATGCCTGCCTATACATATATTGGAGAGTATGTGGGCGGTACTGTGCTCTTGACAAGTGAGGAGCAGCCCGCATCTGATGGGCCTACGCCGAGAATTATATCTGGTTCGGCTTCTTTGGGCTAGGCCTGTGATTTCCTTGCCTGCAATAATCCCATGCAGGCAATAGGCACCATTACACAGCCTCTGCTTCAACATTCAGGGCTCCTTGACAGGTGGGTCTCTCCGCCAGTCATCTGCAGTGCTTACGTAATCAAAATGCCAGCCACAGGTTTCCTTACAGCCCCATCACTCCACTGCTGCCATCAACCGATGGCGTAAAATATGTGTAAAATTACTTTATGACATGGTCGTGGGTGGTTCCAAGACACTGAACGGTGGGACAGCATGAAAATATATGTATATTTTTTTTATTTTTATAAATATTTTATCAGTATGGGGTTTTCATAAATATATACATCATATTTTTAAGTCAAACATCCCTCATGGTGTTACCACTTAAAAGTGTTATTTAAGCCAAGACTTATCCCACGGTCTTTGCCTTCCATCCCAACATCCTCCAGCCGAATTAATCATTAAACGCTCTTATAGCCTCAACACATTGACACACTTATGACATACTTATCGTCCTGCCTTTTCCATTTTCATGCTACGCTTTTTTTTGGCTAAAAATAAAACCGTCAATTGTCGACAAATTTAACGTGCCACGGAATCCGAACCGAATCCCGCTCTCCTGTCTTAACTACCACTTCCGAACGGCAATCAATTTGATGTGCGGATATGTTTGTGCGATGGCTCGATGGCAATCTATCTAAAACCCGATGATGATTTATGAACGCCGATTGTCAACCTGTAATTACGCAAATAACAACAACAGACGACGACGTAACCCTGACACTGTCGCCGGTGATTGTCGGCAGTGTTCTGACCATCATAATTATTGGTGTGGCTATCGCGATACGAATATTCGTGGTGACATTTGTGCACAATTTGCGCCGCAATCGCCATCACGGCAACAAGGCGACCGCCGCGGGAGTGACGCCCCAACCTGGCGATGTCTTCAAGGTGGGTTGAGTTGGCCAAGTTGCGAGTTCCGTACTCCGGATTTCTTATATTTTCAGAGCAATTAATGTACGTATTATTCGTTTTCAGGGCGGTAACTTGGAGAAACCGCGATGGCAGCACACGGACATAAAAACGAAATCATCGGAGGATTTGGTTGAGGACGAACGTGATCCGGACGTAATACCATCGCAATACGGTAAGATTTTAAGCAGTGGCTGGCACTTTGTGGCGACACTTGGCAGGGACGTTGGCAGGGAGAGAGTGTGTGGAAATGATGCCACGGGTTTTTATGTGGCCAACAGTAAGATAGGGCAACCGGTCAGCGACTTGACGGAATTGCTTAATTTCGGCGTGCTTCTTAATGCCAAGCCCGCGAGTCAAGTGTCCGGCAAAGTAACCGGAGAGAGTCAAGCTGCTTTTTTATAGTCTGCACTTTGAGTATTAAACTTTAATCAAATTTTATGGCCACTTCTCTGACATTTACTTTCATGTGTCCCGCAATCGCAATCGCAATGGCAATCGCTATCTGCACATCCGGCTTCTTTGTTCTTTGGTGACCCGCAATCGTAATCAATCTCATCAACACAACAACAATGCCACGGACTCCAACCCAACCCAACCCAACCGAAACAAACCCAAACTGAATGAAACCAAACCAATCCAATCCAATCACCCAATGCAATTTCCTTTTAATCGTAAATATTTTTAACGACGGAACCCGCCAATCTAACACCGGACCCTGGACACTGGACATACCACTGGGCACTCGAAACGTGGCTTCTCATCAATAAATTTCAATCAAGCAGTTGGTGGCGGCAGCGCCGGCAGCAGTGGCAGCAATGCCTCGAACGTGGGGAGCACCACCGCCGGCACCGCCACTGGCAGCAGCACCTCTACCGCGGTGGTGGCATCCGCGGTCAGCTCAGCCGCATCAGCATCCGTATCAGGAACGGCAGTGTCAGCCGCAGATGCCCATCAGTTTGCATCAGCCACATCAGTGGGCGGCGTGGGAGGAGGCTCCTCAAAGTGGTCGCCCAATGGCAACGTAAGTAACCAAAGACACTGACGTAGGTCCTGTTTAAAGGATGGGTATGATATGGGAAAAATTTATAATGAATCGTTAGCTTTATCAATTTTTAAGAACAGCTTTCAGTTCTCATCACTATCTGATAGATTGCCGAACAATTAAAACGTGTCACCTCTGTACAGACATTCATGTTGGATAGCCAATGGCTCTTCCTGCCTTTTCCCATTTGCCTTTGGTTTGCTAATGCAATTTGATTTGGCAAGTTTTGTTGCCAGGACTCCAGGAGTTAGGACTCCATAGTCCTGTAGCTTCGAACTTCCGTTGTCCAGGTGGCAGCCGGACTAGTTCAGGAGAACAGTTTAACGTCTGTCAGTTGTCAGTTGCGGTTCGCATTTGCTGGCCCAGACTTTGTGAGCCCGCTGTCCTTTTGTCCTGGCAATCTGGTCTGTGCACTGAAAGCAATCAACTACCGGAATTGTCAAATTGCTAAACAGGCAGCAGAGAGTAGCTGGCTGGATGGCTAGCTGGCTAGCTGGCTGACTGGTAAACGGCATTCAGCATGCTGCCACACTCAGCCTCTGGCACGTCAGGGTCCGAGGCGAAAAGCTCCCCTAACACCATACTATATTAAAAAAAGCTTTTAAACTGTCAGGGCATCTTCGAATTTCTCGCCCACTTGGGCTCCTTCTCGGTCCGCTGCCACTCAGGTTATAAATAAAAATCCATTGGCTAAATCGGGGTATAACGTGCAGCTTGGCTGGCGGGCTCTGAGGTAATTGCGAGATTTTTAAAACACAATATATCATGTTGAGTGGGGCGTAATCAATCAATTTTTGTTCCGCATTTGTATTGAGCACGGAGCTGAGGTATCGGATTCCCCAAGCCATAGATACTTTTTCGTTTTAGCTTGTTGTTTTTTGCTGATGGATGGGAGTGGCTTTTAAGCTGGCAACAGGTGTGGGAATAGTGGTGCTTAGTATGCAATATGCAGTTCGCCTGAAAAATCTGCAAAGGAGCCAGTCTCCACTCACAGTGAAATTTTTTAAAAAACTTAAAATGTAATATCATTTACCCGCTCAACGTAGGTAAATTTTGGTTTATCCCTACAGCTTTTGCATTTATTTGGTAAATTAAATCTCATACATGGGCATAGCTCTTTGAAATAATAAATTTTACAACCACTTTAAATTTTTTTGCGCACTTTTCATATTTTTTTTTGGCGAATAAATTTTTTGTCGACCATCCGAGATTAGAGTGTTGGCCAAAACACATTTGTTTTCATTTCATTAAGTTCGCAATTAGAATTTATTTATGGGCTGCCCCTGCCTGCCTGGATTCTGCACATATGAATATTCAAATATATATGTAGACATACATGTATATATCTCTTTTATGCGCTGACAACGGCCGAGATCCCCGAAAGCCATTACCATAAGCTGTGCGAACGAGATTAGAGCCGGGAAATGGCCATATGCATCGACCATGACCAATTGACTGCCAGTCCGCGAATATATGTATATATATCACTAATCTGGCCAAAAACATTAGCCTCATCCCTCGGCCCAAACCGAAACCAATTTGCAATGCAGAAAAAAAGCCGAAACAGAAGTATCTGGAAAATCAGCCAGCGCTGCGGTTTTACGCCCCCGATTCCCACCCACACATTCCGCAATGCACGGAAAAGCCTCCCCATCCCCTCCAACCACCAGATAACAAAGTATCTGAGTCCGAGCCCCCAATCGCATCCGGAGTTCGGCTGAAAGAGAATTTTTGTTTCATTCTGTAAATGGGATTTGTGCTGCGCAGATTTCAATTACATTTAAATTACCATTCCAGGCGGGCTTAAAATGTGGTTCGTGTGTACCGGTATGGGCTGAGCCAGGGAGGGCTGTTGGCCTCGTCTCCTGCCGGCCAATGGGCAATAGCAGCATAACTCAATTCGTTAATTAAATAATTTTAAATATTGCCAACCATAACAGCCGAACATACAAACCGGCAAGCTGCCAGCTACCAGCCACCATCTACCATACTAGCTACCATCGACCAGCCCATCCCGCTGACCCGTCACCTGCAAATTGCATTGAGAGATTTCAATTAGAATTTCATTTCATTTTGCCAGCCAGCAGAATAAAAATGCCAAACAACAAAGCACTGCCTCACCGATTTTAGGAGTTCTCTCCAAAGCATGAGCATTCTGCTATAATTGGATTGTGGACGAGCATTTTGTGGCCGTTGAGTGCGAATTTATATCGTTTGGTCTAAACACGTTTAAAACGGAGTAGTTTGTTGGATTTTTTGAAAATTACATACCACTTGTTTTCTTTTATATGATTTACAAAAAAAATTGTACAATTCCTAGGGAAAACTAATGCAAACAGAATTATTCGATTGCATTTCGTTCACGTGGAAAACTTAGGAATTTCCTGGCAGAGACGTTTCCAATTGATTGGCTTCCGATGCAATATTCTTTACACACAACAAAATGTACATTCAATTGAAATTTTTCTTTTATTGAGACACTCGTTCTTTAATAGCTACATTTATTCTTAAACTTGGTTACTTTTTGAATATGTTCATTTAGCATTTTTATGGCATTTATTCAGACTTTCTTGTTTTTGTTTCCAATAAAAATTGGGCATAGAAATGGTTAAATGAATTTATAGCCAAATGGCTATCAAGTTCCAAGACTGGGTTTTGTTGTGCTAAGACAATGTTTTATTGTATTCAACTAATTGAAAATTGAAAGGAAATCAAACATAAGCCATACACACCCCATATTTCCAATTGGTAAAGCATTTTCCTTAAAAGCTACTCAAAGTTAGGCTAAAAATGCAATAAAACTTTTGAATAAGGCTTTTTAAGATTACTAATTAATAGTATGTATGTATATGACTGAGCTTAACAGTCATAAGGTCATTTAACCTTATTTTCCAAGTGTATCAGTGACAAGATTTTCTCCTACTTACAGGTGGTGCCCCTGACCACAACGACGATGCTGTCCGGCGATGCATCGAACGCAACTGTCACCTATAATCAAATCAACGCCCAGCGGGCTCAACTTCTGGCGGCCGTGGCGGCGGCGGGGGGCGGCTGCAGCAGCACCGTCATATCGCCCAGCAGCAGCATGCTGAGTGGAATGGGCGGGCTGGGCAAGCCGCTGGGCCTCGGAATTGGGGGCATGGTCATCGGTTCACCCACCTCCCTGTCATCGAACTCGACCTTGGCGGCCGCTGCGGGTCACCTCCAGCCGATGCACAGCAGCGGAGTGGGAGGCACCCTGCCCCCGGGCCTGGGCAGTGGTGGGGGCTACATACTAAACGCCTATGCCACTGGACGACTGCACCAGCAGCCTGGAGGGGGAGGCACCCACACCGCCACCCTGAACAGGCACCACCACCACCAACAGCAGCAGCACCACCTCCCGCACCATCATCAGCAGCAACAGCACCATTCTGGCTCTAACCTGCTGCTCGGCAGTTCGGGCAGCGTCATGGGCGTGGTGGGCGTGGCCAAAAACTCAAACTCCACAACGACAGCCACAACATCGTGCAACTCGTCGCAGGACCTCGATGACAACATAAACATCAATGCGATCAAGGATTGCCTAATGACGCAGAGGGTGCCAGAGAGCTGCGTCTAAGGCTCTGGCTACAAGGATCTTAAGTTTAAATAATTATTTAGGGTATATGAATATGTATGTATCAATGTCAAATGGACAGGTTTCAGTTTTCACTTCCAATACCCAAATTGTAAGCATTTTCAAAAGAATGTGAAGGGTGGAACCAGTCCATTAGTTTGTTCCCGTTAAGGTGCTGTGCATATCTAATCTTAAACTTAGGCGAAACGTGAACTCTGTTAAACTGCGCGTAAACTGGCAGGAAAAGGCCATATCTTCTGGTTCAATAGCATATCCCTTGTTATATCGAATAAAGAAACTCCATATCGAGATTACAGATTAAGGCTACAAATCGGAGGAATCTCTAGAGACTTGTTTTCTTTTCTATCAATTCGCTGAGAATTCGCCCAAAAACTGTATTTGTGTTCAGTTCATTCGAGAAGTTAATAAATTCGTTCAAAGTTCATTAAACCACACAGTTATATATACACACTATTCTAAGGAAACTTCAAAAAGACTCGGACAATTTAGTAGCTAAATATTTTGTAGCAAAAATATTCCAAAGATAAAAATAGCTTAGAATTGGATTAAATATTACTGCAAGTAAATTTGTACATAAGGTAAAGTGTATAAAGTAAATAATATTCACACCCGAAACCTACTTTTGTTGTTGTATATAGATATTAAAAAATAATAGTTGTAACTAAGTTTGAAACGCCGTTCTGTGCGGCCCAAAGTCCTGCTTAGAGTTAAGTAATACTAACGTTAAATGTTTAGAAGGAAGAGCGTAGGTTTAAGCCACAATAGAAGATAGTAAATGGAAGAGTTTAAAATGGCTAGTCTAACAGAATTAAGCGTAAATATCAATAAAAGTGTTAAGACGAAAAGAGAAAATGTGACAAAACCTAAATGAAGTAATCGGAATGTAAACCAGAACTCGAGAAGTAAATATAGATCAGCTACAAAAACCCAAGCGAGTTAATTAATTATTTCGGACGCTCTGCGGTCGGAACTTATTGTTTTGGAATCCAATTCGGAAGTTGAGACCAACTTTGTTGGCTTTAATTTGAAATTTGGTTTTTTTGGCCGACACATGTCCGAAATCGTTAGCCGCCCACACTTGGCCAATTTAAATCTGCTGGCCAACTCCAGCTCGGACATGAAACCCGTCCCGTGTGGTTCGCATGGCAACCACAATTCCCAACACCCGCAAGACAAACCGCAAGTGCCAAGCGAAAAAACTACTTAAAATTTCATATGCTCCGACAAGGGTTCCTTTTTTTGTTCTCCTGATTTTCTCCCTCCTGTGGGACACAGGACCTGCTTCATTAGTAAATCAAATTTATACGTGGGTGGACGTGCCACAGAGCCCAATTGGTTGGGGTCAACCGCGCTGACTGAGGAGCTTCGAGTTGAATAAGTTAAATCGACACCATCAAGGAGCCAACGGAAGAATAAAAAGTTGCTGCCATTTTGGGGAAACTTTTTAATTACTTGAAGCCTTCAAGTTGAAGGTGAACTCAGTAATTAAAAACTAATTCATTCACTCAATCCTGCATAGGTTATTATTCATAGCCAAGTTGCCATATCAAAGTAGTTAGCCACGTTATGGCTCTCCTCAAGTATCTAATTATCTAGCCGACATGGATTTTTTTTGTTACATTTTCTTACATCACACGTGTCAGAAATTACCCGACCTAGACATACCCATACCACATTAAAAAGGATAAAAAAGCAATGAAAGCCAAGGAAACAGAAAAACACATCCCTTCGGTGGCCCGAGGTCAGTAAATCCAAATAAAGGGGAGTTGTTCTCGATGGCCTAGAAAAAAGCTTTAATAGAAAAGGCAAAGGAAAAATACATTCTAACAAAATTATGCGCGTGATTTATGGTTTTGTTTTTGGCCAGCCTTCCCAGCAGTCTGTTTGTGTTATCATATTGATTTTTCCACGCCGAAACTATGTGTGAAAATTAAATTCCCGTTTAGAGTTTTTGCCCCACAACCGATTATCGCATAGAGAGAGTGCGACCTAAAGCTCCGAGCCAGTGGAATCGACCAGAGAATTGAATGGAAGCGCATTGTGTAAATCAGCGGCTCAATAAAATCTAATAGCCCGGGAAGATTGCGGCTCGGCACGCACCGCACCAAGGCAACGGGCAACGGGGCGGATACGCGACGGACCTGGTTAGGTGGCAAACATAAATTACCCGACGGAGGACAAAGCTCGTCCTTGGCAGTGGGTTGATAGCCATCATAATAAATGCCAAAAAGTGTGACAGCCTGACGTCACGGTTGAATATATCGTCTAGCCCCCAAAGAATTAGCCAAGTTAATGAAATCAAAATGTTAAGTTGTGGTATATTTCCTTTCTGGGTATACAATTTTGTCATAAAATGTGGTTATGAAGAGTAGAAACTATTTATATTATTTATATAAAAACATACTAAAAATATAATGAATTGTGAAATGACTTACTGGTGTAAACGTTTTACCAAATCTTCCCACCGGATGCTTTCTTTGTTCATTATCGAACTTTCCAACAATGTTATAACACCAGCCGAGCCAAAGCCACTGCCAGCGAATTACCAAAGAGAAGCCGCTTTGGCAAATTAACTAATGACCCCATGACGGGGATGCAGGGGGGCCAAGGATTCCAATCGAGAGCTGTAGGTGGAGGAGTATTGTTGCCGGGAAACTGGGAAAAAGTGGCTGGTGAGAGGGCCGGGAAACGGGCGTTTGTTTAATTGTCGTGCGACCCGCTTTTTGCTTCGTTTTAATGAGTCAATTTAAATTCCGATTTCGATTACGGAGAAAGCGTTTTTCGAGCTGCTGATGTCCCGCACACAGCTGAGGCCAAATCGATGTTCATTAGCAGAAGGCGAGTCGCGTCCTAGCCCCCGAACCTAGCCCACGATCCAGTCACCACCCCCTTAAGTTACCTCCTTTTGTCCATGGACTCGCCTCTGCACTCTGTATTTTTCCTCTGACCACTTTGTCCCGGGCATTGTCAACGCAATTAGCAGCCAGGGCCCTTGCCTGGGCGAGAGAGAAGTTTTAAAGTTAATATTGGTTTTTGTTTTAAGCATTCAAATGACCTCGCACGCCCTGCACAAAGTTGGCCGATTGAAACATATTTCGCAGCCGATCCACCGAGTCAAGGCTCAACTCATAATTGAGCCATTCGACGCTCATAATAACCTAAATGGAAATGTAAATTCGTTTTTAGTGGTTTTTAATTAAAAACCAACCACACTTTTTGTTAGCTAAATTAATGAGCAAGGGCCACCGCTTCTTTTTTTGCTGTTGGAATTTTTACCATTTTTATTGCTGGCAATTTTAATTAAAACATCAGAGTTTTATTATTTGATTTATTGCGCCATGTGACAGGTCGCAATAATCGCCGTAAACAAATGCATATGTAATTGCATATTTGAACTCAATTAACCCGCGCACGCCTTGACCGCGGCGCCAATTTTGCAAATTTGTCACCCCATCGGGAGAGAGTGTGGGTGTAGTAGTCCTGGCTGGGCCATAAATCTCAGCCTACACTTTCAACTTGACCCCAACGGAGTAGACTCGAATGTCGTTGGAAACGCAGCGCTGCATGAAATGAAATTCAGCGCAACGGCCTTCTTCCATATGCTTTTTGTTTTCAGTTTTTTGGCTTTTTCCCTGAGCTGCTTCTATTTTTTATTTCCTTTTTACGTACGTCGCTCAACGCAACAATTTATGGCTAAGCGGTCGTGTTTGGCCTAAAAATATATATATATATACATACATACATTGTGTATATAAAGGGAAAACCAGTTACATAGAAACACGTCAATAAATTACAGGCGCCCTGAGAGGCCTTCGCCTCGGCGACCTAGCCAAGTTGAACTAATGGCAGCTTGGCAATATCGTTACATAACTGCGAGCGGAAAACTCTCAAAAAAAATGTATCTCAAGCCAGGACCCCGAAGCCTCAATGCCCTGGACTTGAAAGAATAATTATCAAATAGGTAGTAAGTCTGGAATCCTTAACCACTTTGTTGACTCTTGACTTTATGTTTTAATTATAAAACCCTTAAGAAATTCCTTTTAAAAGAAACAAAGCTCTTTTGTAAACGCATATACCTCACTTTGTTTGAATGGGGCTGTAATAATAATCACGCAAACAAGAAGAAAAATAAATTTAAATTCTGTGTCAACATGCGGCTTGGTGAGATGTTGCCGAGCTCACCTCCAAACAATTTATGCAAAATAAAAATAAAACAAACATATGAACCCAACATCAACTTTAGAGTATGTGAGTGTGGGACGCACATGCTAGAGTATGTGTGAGTATGTGTGTTAATTAAAATGCCTTAATTAAAATAATTTTCAAATATTTTTCGTAGCAAAAAGTTTCATGCAGCCCCAGCCAAAGTGGAGCGGTGCAAATATTACCGAATTGGAGTGGCAAGAGTGGAGCTGCACATTTTTTCCCCGATTGACTGCCGCACAGATTGACAACCATGACAGGGGCAACTGCCACGCCCCCTTTGAAGAAGCTGCAAAAAAAAAAGAGAGGGGGTGGCCGGGGACGGGGAGCAACCCCAGAACGTATTAAAAACTTTACAATTTGTGCAGTGTAGTCAAGTTTAATTTTTTGGTTGAGTTCATGCGAAAATTGCAAAAATCATATTCCAACTGTTTGGCAAGCTATCAAAGGTATACGAGGAACCAAAGTTCCGGGGACTGGGGTGATCGGGGATGATGGTTCGGGGGGTCTAAACTATAAACTGCACTACAGAGCGAAATGAAATGGACAGACAGCATCTTTTTGAATGAAAAAGTGAACACACCGAGGGATATGGACTGTGGCTATAAACGCAACATGTGTTTTTCTATTCAGACCCAAATCGATTTTCAACTCTTCTCATGGGATCAAGCTATTTGCTTGGCAAATTGAAAATTTTCTATAATCCTTGATTTCCTCAATTCAACCAGCATAAGCAGGTGGACAATTGTTCTTTGAATAGTCAGTCTTGACTCGTGAGCTCTTCCGGCACTTATCTGTCCCTGGTTCCGTTTGTTAACTTCCTTCTGCGGCGGGGCCA